TTACTGGTAGGATTATAGGGGAGCTTAATTTCCTTGCTTATATTTTTCTGACTTTCCCTGTTTTGAACAATAGCCTTGTATTCGTTTTACAATCACAAAGTGATTAAAAACAAAAGAGAAGATTAGGTTGGGTTATTGACAGACCTACGGTGAGATTTCAGGAGTTGTGGCACTAACATACTGTTTCATTTTGTAAAAAACGTGTGAGATACCATACAAGACTTTGGTGTTGTTTAGTTTAGTGAGATGAAGTATGTCTTAGGAGCAGGACGTTTCAGGGAAGGTCTAGCAAAAGTCCCCTCCTCCTTGGTGGCTTGGCCTCCAGCCCAGTGGAATGGTGTCTTGGGTATGGAAGCACTGGCTTGGCTGTCACATCCAGAGCCCGAGGGAGCTTTTCCTGGCATAGTGCTCTGGTGGAAGGCTGCCAAGAGGGCATCAGAGGCTCAAAATGGAAGGAAGATGGAAACCTAGAGAGGTTAAGCAGAGGACAGAGCCGAGGCCAGCAAACCAGCCCCACAGGCCAAGTGCAGCTTCTGCTTGTTACTGTATGTAGTTTGGGGACACAGCCACACCAGCTTACCTGTTGTTTCTGACTGCTTCTGCCTTACAAATCAGAGTTGCGAAAAAAATGTGCCAAACCCTGCACTGGTATGGCGCACTTGCTGGGCCTCTGCGCCTGTCTCCTCCCTACCTGACTGCTGAGGGCAGGTCTGACACAGCGTTGAACTTTTAACAGACATAAAAGTTGAAGGATGAAACCGCATTATCCAGTTCCAGCAACCACCACCATTCTGCTGTTCCCGTTTCTTGTGCTGCCTGCCACCCCACCCCCCATAATGATTTTCTGGAGTATTTTAAAGCAAACTGCAGAAACCATGTAATTTCATCTGTGACTGCTCAGTGTGTGTCTCTGGCAGATGGAGCTATCCAGTGTCACTGGTCCATCTCCAGGGACCAGGGGGAGGGACTCTGTTCCAAAGCTGTAGGTCCCCCCGGTGGGGGGCATGGTGGTGGTGGCAGCCATTCTAGGCAGGGCTGTTGGTTTTCCAGTCTCCACTCTGGTGGGTGGAGGTCTCAAGGTCTAGATCAGAGAGTGAAGAAGTAGCAGGTTCCCTTACTTCCAGATCTGATCCATACTCTTCCACTGAGATTTAACTGTAATGAAGTTAACCTTTGAACTTCCATCACTCAGACACTCATCTTTTTCTCAGCTGGATCCAAGAACAGGATGCGAAACTTACTATGACAGAAAAACCCCAATGATAACCCCACAAATTCTCCCCCAAATTTATGTATTTAAGAACATGTTAACATATGAACTGTGTTGCCAATTCAGCAGTGAGAAACTGCAAACAAGGGCAGAATTTCAACTATGTATTCATCCCCGTCTGAATATGAAAAGGTTTACAGAAGTGTAAATTGACCCCCTGGGGATTATTCTTCTGAACCTGATCCTGGACCTGGCTTTCTGCCTGGCCTGCATGTGTAGCAGCTCAGCCTGCATCCTCAGCACTGGGACCTGCTCCGGGAGCAGGCTGGGAAGGGTTGGGTGCCTCTAGCTCAGCCCTGGGATCAGAGCCGCCTTCCTCTGCAGGTGACTGGTGCCATCCCCCCCAGGGCCTGTGCTCCCCTGCCAAGTACTGACCTTAGGGTCTGTTGACCCTTTTCTCAAAGCTTGATTATTCCAGACAAGGCTCCCTTGCCCTACACAGTTCATGGATGCTTATTCTCCAAACGATTGTTTTCCTTTACTCTGAATGAAAGAGAAGACTATTCCAAATAATTTTTTAAGGCATTAAAGTTGTTTTTCATTATTCATATAATAGGACTCAAACACAACACACTAACAGTAAAATACAATTTTGCAATAAGACCTTGTCTGCTTCTTCTTCCTGCTCTCTACACAGGGGGTCTAACAATAATGTGAAAAGTAATGCTATTTTCTTTTCTTTTTTTAAACTTTTTAAAATGTTTATTTATTTTGAAGGAGAGTGTGAGAAGGGGAGGGGCAGAGAGAATCTGAAGCAGGTTCCAGGTTCTGAGCTGTCAGCACAGAGCCTGACATGGGGCTTGAACGCACGAGCCTTAAGATCATGACCTGAGCCGAAGTCAGACACTTAATCGACTGAGCTACCCAGGTGCCCCAGTAATGCTATTTTCTAACTCCTAGGTCTCACTCTGTGCCAGCCAGTGCTGTATGCACTTTACTTAGGTTACTGACTTAATCCTCACCAGAGCCCAGTGAGGTAGGCAAGTGTATTATGCCCAGGATACAGATGAGGAAACTGACGGCCAGGGAGGGGGAAGTTTGTTGGGTGACAGAGCAGGGGTGAGCCCAGTGGATTGGTGCTATGGCTAGCCCTCTGCCAGGGTAGGGAGGGGTCTGTACAGCAGAGGCAGTGAGCAGAGCAGGGGTGAGCCCAGTGGATTGGTGCTATGGCTAGCCCTCTGCCAGGGTAGGGAGGGGTCTGTACAGCAGAGGCAGTGAGCAGGGCAGGGGTGAAGCCAGGCAGGTTCCATGGGTTCACGGGCTGTGGTGAGGAGTCTGGATTGATTCTAAGAGTCACCGGCTCCACAGGAGGCCTTTCAGGAGTGAGGCCACCCAGTTTACCCTGGTTACTGTGTGAAACGGATCTTAGAGACATCACCTTAGAGTGCAGGGTGGCTGGGAGAGGGTGAGAGGTAGCATTCCATGTACTGAGGGGCCCAAGACCCCAGAGGGTCTGACCACTGCAACTTAAAACCTTTTAGTTCAGAAGGTTCTTTCTACATTCATGTTACACTAACAAAGCCCCCTAGGTCAAAGCAGGGATGAGCTTATGAATAACAAGGAGAATCAGGGAGAGTCAGTGGACTGAGGATAAAGGTTGTATGCAGAGTGGTGGGCAGGTCTAGAGGAGAGACAGACCCAAACTCAAACCCCCCGCTTACAGCAAACCTGGACATCCTGAGTGGCCTGGGAGACCCTGTGAAGTCTGCCTCCCACTGTCTGCTCGACTTCACCCTACTTGGACTGGTCTGTCACTCTGGCCACCACTGCCCCTCAGCCATGAGCCAGCTCAGGCCACCACCGGGAACCTGAACTCCTCACTCAGAGATCACTTCGCCCCTGGGGCCTTCCAAGCATGCTAATGAAAATTACAGTCCCCTCCACCTCATGTCGCTCCCCTCTTTGGCAGCTTTATTTTTCTCCATAGAAAATATACTACCCTCTAGAATTTGTTTCTTTTCCCTACTGTTTGTCTCCTCCCCCTACAATGTGGGTTTCAAGACATTTCTCTTCTGCTTTGCTGTCAGCTGCATCTCCAGGACCTGGCACATGGCAGGCACTCCATGAATAAATGAAGGAATGAAGGGATGGGTGAATGAAGAAATGAATGATGGTGAAAGGTATAGCCCACAGAGCGCCATAGTAGTGGAAACATGCTGTTTCAGCCAAGGGCTAAGATGTGCTCACAGAAACCTAATGCAGAAGGCACAAACAAATCTCCAGCTCTTGACAACCACTCTGGCATCGGCAGGTGTGTTTCTATTTTACAGGCGAAGTCGCCCAGACTGAACATGGCCGCATTTGCTCTCCTTGGAGACACTGGCCAGGGTACTTCTCCTAGAAAGAAGGGCAGTGCCTTTGTCTATGGGAGGCCAGCCCGGAGTACAAATGTTTATGGCAACTTGGAAGTCTCTAGAATCTCATTAAGATGGTTTCGTAGAGAGGCCAACATAGCTCTGCAGTGTGCTGAGGGGGGCAGTGCCCCATAGGGGCAGGGAGGCAGGCAGGAAAATCCCTGAAAACAGACAACTGGGAAAGTGTGGTCGACAAACTAAGTCTTTGTCCCAGCTTGTGACAGAAGGAGAGTCCTCAGTAGCTTCAAACTGTAATTCTTAATTGCTCTCACTTTGAATATTTGAAAGAAACAAAAGTAACAGAGAATAGCTTTGAGTTTCTCTGAGTAAGTCAAGCAGATATAAGATGAAGCCAGAATTAGCTGCATTTTCTCATTTTGCAATAATTGGTTGAATTGTGTAGCTATAGAAAGTCTCTCAATATGCACATGCACGGTTTGAGCATTTTACCTGAATCTTAAAAATGTCTGGGCCGCCAGCAACTTACATCCCCTCCTTTCCAAACAGGAAGCATTAATAAAAGGTAACAGGAAAGAGCCGTATAATGACATGTGAGGGATTTTCCAACTGGCACACAGGGTCAGTCTTGTTAATAATTCATTGTCAAATTTCTGAACTAATGGTGAGGCAGCAGTTTGGACCTGCCTGCAGGGCAGATCTCCCCACTAAAGTGTGGTCAGCTCTGGAGGGAAGACACTGGAGTCCCCTTGTGACCCCAGTGACTCCAGATGAATGTGTTTGCTTCCAGATACACAACCAGATACGCTGCTCCTTCTGCACTAAACACAGGCCCTGAACCTCAGCCAAGAAATATTTCACTGTCACCTTATTAACACCCAGAGTTAAATCTCTCCATAGCTAAATGTATTCTCATTGTCACATTTGAAAAACAGCTACCACTACCACGGCCTAGGGAAAAGGGGGGTTTATAAGCAGGACTCTGCCTGGGTAGGTGGCTCCCCCATTGATGGCCAAGGCCCATCCTTAGGACTAAGTGGAATCTAACAAAACAAGTTTCCTCCCTAACTTCCTTCTTGGGCCCACCCAGACCTGCTGCATCAAGCTCTCTGTGGCTACGATCTGGAGCATTCCAGGTGATTTTAATGTTCACTAAAGTTTCTGAGCCACTGGCCCAGACTACCCCAAATGGAAAGGTAGAAATGATGAGACAGAACAGGAATGTGCAAAGCTGAGAAAAGGCAGCATATTGTAATTGTGGTGGAGGAAGGGCAGGTGGGTGTAGACAGTTCAGGACAGCCTGTGGGGGAGCAGTGTGAGAAATCTGTCTCCCTGAGTAACAGGAAGATGAAGACAGAAATAGTCTGAGGTCACAAAGGGCCCAGTGGAGGGTGCTCCAGTTTGCTGAAAAGAGAATCCATCCCTCACCTACTCCGTATGCTGGATCATGACTGCCCATGAGAGTGACATGTGAGGGGGAGGAAGAAAAGAGGCAGGAGCCAGAGGCAGAAACAGTCGCACAAGTACATGGTAAGCAGGCTGCATTTCCCATTGGACGAACTTGAGGCCAAGACACAGGTGAGAGGCTTAGACACCAAGGGCAGGAATGATGGTTCTTTGCTAATGTCACCTGCATTTTCAGCTGATCCTGGACTGAGACATTGTCAGTCCCTACTTGTCTCTTGAAGATGGAAAATCATGTAAGCCTTTTCTTGCTTTCTTCTTGGCCTGCCTGCAGCTGCACCTCTCAGGCTTGGGCAAGAATGCGAGGCTCCTCCTTATTCCCATAGATGCTCCTGGTAAGACTGGTGAGCGAGGACAGGTGGGTTCCCAGGGACCTCCTAAGTCCTACGTGCTGCAAGCATCCCAGCCAAGACCTTTCCAGAAGTGGCCGGAGGGTTGGTTTACATGCTTTGGTTAGTTGTGTGAAATATTGGCTCACAAGCCAACAATATTGTACAAATTGCCTATTTTGGGCCAGCACAATGCCAAGACCAAGATGGGAAAAAGTTATGTGTTATAGGGTTTGGCTCCTTACATTTGTAGTTAAGGAGACAAACAACAACACACCCAGAAATTATGGAATGTACAATATTATATTATAAAGATGTCAACTTCCCAAGTAATTAAAGCCAGGGTGAGCTGGTACCTATGCACTTGTCCATTTTTGTTGGGGGAAAAACCCAATGATCACACATATGTGTGCATGCATCATGCCTTGGGGTGCAGATGCTGGCAGGAAAACATGGAGACCCAGATTGTGGCTGGGCCAAATGTATGAAACTGAAGTCTTACTTTTCTGTGGAATTGTCTTGTTTCTTTAAGTCATTCCTCCAGCAGTAAAGTAAGGGAAATTGGTGGAGGTAAAGCACACTGCCTGTTCTCCTGACGGGCCCAGGACTTTGCCTCCTGGACCACTTTACTCAGATACAGAGAAAACATGGGATGCCGGGAGCTGTCCTGCCTGGCTCCTGACTAGTTCCATCTGCTCCACCCTCCTTCAGCTTGCTCAGCCAGTGCTCTCTTTGGTAACTGGAGTTGCCTGTTAAGTGCATTAAGTCTTCATGAAGGGACAGTCCAAACATGGACACAGAAATGCAGGCAGGACTTGTAGTCAAGTCAAGATATGGGGGAATACCTATGCCAGCTGCCCACTGTTGTGGATGCTTGTAAGAAATGGGCCAGGCAACAAGAAAAAAATAAAACAAACTTTAAACAAAATGGCACACACACACACCCCCATTCAATGGCAGAAATCCCTGAGAAGTTTCTTTCCTGTGTCCTTCCCGAGGTCTTTTCCTCACATTGCTTCTGATGAAGTGAGCTCAGGTGTCCTGAGCTTGTCTCAGGGGAAGCAGGGGCACATTGGAAGGGAGGAAATGGAGGGAGAGCACATGACAGTGTTTGGAACTTGGTGGTCACCAGTATCCATAGTAAACAATCCCTCAAAGGCTTTCCACCAGTTCCTCGTCTCTCTAAAAAGCCCTCGATTACTTATTCTTGGCACTGGAGCTGGGGACAGGCAGCACAGGAGACCGCAGCTGACCTGCAGCTTTCCTGTTCTGCCAAAAATACCCCTGTGGTTCTAACTTTCTCATCCCTATTTACCTTTTCCCCCAGTTTTACTGAGATACAGTTGACACTCTACCAATTTATGGTGTACAACATAATGACTTGTCACCTTTATTTCAAAATTCCTGAACCGTCACAAGTTGACACTTAGCCTAGATGGGGCAATATAGATCTGACATGGTGAGAACAGATCTATGAAACATGGCTTTCAAACACGGTGGGTAGGCATCAGCAGCTCAGGACAGGAACTTCTGAGAGAGGTGAAGCCTGCCACCTGTAGCTTCAGGTCCTCCTGGAGTTGAGAGGAGGGCAGTTTGGCTCTCAGGAGGCAACAGTGGCTGGTGTCAGTGGGCCTGAGTCCTCGAAAGGAGAAATCTGCAGAGCTCCGCCCACAAAGTTCCTAGCTGAGTGTTGATGGGGGCATTCATAGGAAGAAATTACCCAGAGCTGGGAAAAGAACCACCAAAAGGGGAAGACAGAACAATCCCTGAGGCCCACACAAAGCTGGGAACAGTTTGCATTCCCACTTTCGAGAGTGAAAACCTCATAAATCACAGGGCATGGAGTGGAGAAGATTACAGCTTTGGAAGTGGAGATAATTACCTCTACATTAGAGGCTGCCCTATTCCTTCGAAACAGAGCTTAAAAGCAAGGCTCAAAAGCATCAAACTGTTTGTAAGTGACCTAGTGACATCCCAGAACAAAGCTTAAGAATATCTGTAGGAACAAAAAAACATCTAGCACTGGAAAAGGCAAAATTCACAAAGTTGGCATACAATTAAAAATATCAGGCATGCAAAGAAGCAAGAAAATGCAATCTGTAAACCTATTTTATAGATATTTATAGAGGAGAAAAATAATTCAGTAGAAATAGAACCAGAAACAACACAAAAGATATAAATCATAGATGAGCACGTTGGAATATTTACTATGACTATACTGCCAAGCTTGGGTGTTGAGAGGTACAGAGGACATAAGAAAAACTCCAATCAAACTCTAGACATGGAAACACAGTGTCTGAGATGAACTCCCCAAGACACTCAAACTGGCCACCAAACTGCCTGCCAGGGGGGTGGGCTGCTCCTATCTGTCTGTGCTTCTCACTTGCCAGTTCCCTTCACTGAGGTTGCTTTTCATCTCCTTCCACAGACAGCAGGAATTTCAGCAGCATGCCTCAAATGAAATCTCTCTACAGGAAAGAATGGGTGAGGTTTGGCTAAATGTGCTACATACAGAAGATGTGTCGCCTCTGTAAGTTCTGGGGTCAGACCCACCCACCAGCCTCCACAGCAGCAGACCTGGCTCCAAGGGCAGGAGAGTCTTGGGGGAATAGCTGCAGCCACATGAAGTCACCTCATTGGCTTTGCAGTGAAACATGAGGACACAGCTGCATGTCATTGGTTTTAAAAGTGCATCAGAGTGAAATGTTATTAAAGCCTTATAAGACTACTAACCTGGTGCTTGGTGGGGGGCATTCCTGGGTGCCCGTGAGTACCTGGCATCAGCACCACTGTTTCCAGACCCGACCTGTCTGCACACACTGAACTGCCCTGACAACAACCCATGGGAGAAAGAGAAGCCAAGTCAGAGAGACATCAGCAGCTGTCAAGAACCTTCCACCTGCTCCTTGAGAAGTGCTTGGATACAGATGCCAGTGGCTGTAGGACCATTACTTTCATTTGTGTGATGTGGAACCATCCACACGGGGCCCCCACCTACCACCTCACTGGATCCTCCTGACAGGACTTTCTGATATGGTTTTAGCCACATTGCGAAGCAAGGGGAATGTTCAATGCAGAAGCTTCAAACAGCAGAATAAAAGCCAGGTAAGCAAGCCTCTGCTTGCAGAGTCCTTACCTAGAGCAACAGGCCTTCCAACCCTGGGCCCAACGTTCCCAGAAAGGAGGGTGTAGCAGGTCAACTGGGAGCAGGAAATGAGAAGTCCCTTTTACCCTCACAATGTCCAGATTATTTCCTGAGATGCTGGCTTTCCTGTGAGGAGCAGAGGGAATCCGTAGAAGGAAGGAGACACAGACCAGGAGTGATGAATGAGAATGAGGTCCCCAACCAGAAACACATCTGTGAATCTGCCCACCCAGGATCCCACATACAGCATAGGGTCTGTGGAGGACGCTGAAGGGGAGGGAGAGGTCTCTGAGCTCCTGTGTCCATGCTGCCTTCCCCAGGAACCTTGGCATGAGCATTCCTTTAGAAGCCAAACATGCTCCTCATTTCCCCTCTGAAAACACACTGCCTGCCCTGGTCAAGGATGCTGGAAAACCAAGACAAAGTTGACGAAATCATGAGCAATCTCTTCTTTGCATCAGGAGATGGCGAATCCAGTGGGTAGAATGGCTGCCCACAACGTTAGAACAGTAAAGAGCATGTACAATTAAACCTCAGAGTTATTTTGTTCCCAATGAAAGCTGTCAGTTGTGCCAATAAGTTATTACCAAATGTTTTAATACCATATTTAGAGATGGAGGTTCAAAATAATACTCTTTTTGTAAAATCTGAAGTGACAAGGAGACAAGTGTGTTACACGAGCAAGATGAGCTGAGTTCAATATTGTAATCAACTGAAGCTTGGAAGCAAAGTGTCTAACAATGTACAGTGTAATTATGGTGTTGAAGACAAGGACTCCCAAACGGGAGACAGTTGTCATTAGTAACTACCACTGCAGTTTTTGGTACTTCATTTATTTGGCTAACTCAAGATTTTCATTTCTGCCTCCATTGGTTTTCCAAGATCTAGAAACAGCATCACATCAACAGTTTCCCCTAACATCACATAAGGATTAATTCAACATCAGGACCGGGGCTTATGAGTACTGACACCAACAGAGGGCTGGGGTCTGGTTCTTCAAAGTCAGAATGCTCTGGGTTCCTGCTAGCCCTGGGATGAGGGTGCCCCCCACCTCACTTTCCGGAGCCGGGCCCAATTCCCCCATCTCTCACACCGTCCAGAACACAGGCCCCCTCCCCCCATGAGCCTGCAGATGCTCCAGGCCTCCAGTGCCTTGAGGATGTGGGGCTCCTCCCTCACTTGTGGGAGGTTACGAAGGATTCACTTGGGAGTAGGAGGGCAGGAAACACAGCACAGAAGGGCTGTGCTGTCCTGCAACAGCGGGAGCCAGAGGACAGACCCACCATGTGCCCACACTTTAGCTCCAGGTTTGAGAAACAGGCTTTCTGCAGAAGCCACTCTGGGGTATACCTAGCTAACCACTGTAGGGTGATGAATGACAGAGCTATCTTTGATGCATTTGTGGTATCAGACGGAAACAAAATGGAATTCAGCAGGTACTCAACCTTCAAATTCCATCTTCCAGCCCCTCAGACCTGTTTGGACCTGGGCTTCCTCCCATCATTACCCATAGCCTGGGAGCCTTCTTTCTCCTGAGTCAACTCTTCTTTCCAAACTGTCTCCCCTGGTCAGCATTCTGGCTCCACAGGCGGCGGCCAGAACCTTCAGCCCCTAGCAGTACCCTGCAGCCCAGCACACATGTCCCACTAGCACCCCCACATGGCTGGGCCCCAAATCCAGGAGCCCTTTGCCTACCCTTCACTTCCTCCCTCAGCTCCTGCATCTCTTCCACATACCCCCACCGTCTTTCCCTGGCAAAGTCCCACATGGCCTCTGTTCTCAAGTCCTGAACCTTGTCATTTACAACAAATAATATGCCAAGTATCTGAGATAAGAACAACTCAGCATAAAGTCCAAACATCCACCCAGGCCTCAGTGTGCCTCAGAACCTCCCTCTGCATTCACCTAACTTCCCCCATTTACCTCCTCCTCCCTCTGAAGGGCAGTTTTCTCTCCAGTCTGTCAAGGTGGACCCTCCTCCCCTCCTTTGTCTCTTCTCTAGGTACCAGTTATCAATTATCCCCTGCTATCCCTTGGGTTTTATCTTTCCCCTCTCCTATTCTCCCCGTAGGCTGCCCCATCCAATACAGAACTGAGAAGCATTCCCGGGACTCTGATAACCGCTTAAGATGTGCCCCTTTCCTGGCTCTCTGCCAGAGACCTCACTTCTCTGCCCATCGTCCCTCCAAGTTTACCTTTGTTCAGCCACACAATTGAATGCCCTCACAGGTTGGTGGGCAAGAGATGCTTCCACAGAGGACAGATTTTCCTTAGGGGTCCTCTGAACATGGCCTGTCATTTCATGTCATTTCCTTCTTAGTGCTAATGAAACATGCACAGGATAAAACTAAAAATCATCATAAATGGGCAGGCCCTCCTGTTCGGAGGATCCACTTTTTCCCCCACCTCCTGGGTCCCCAGCAGCTTTGTGGTCAGGCAGCTATATGACTGAGCTCTGGCCACCGCCTGTGGGTGATGGTCTGATGTCAATTGCCAGGCCTGGCCCATGGAACTCCCATTTTATCCTCACTCCCATGTGTTAAAGATGGTAGAGCCCCATTGCCTGGTCTCCTTGGTGCCTGTGTAAGCCTGGTCAATCAGATATGGGGCACCTGGGTGGCTCAGTCAGTTAAGTGTCCGACTTCAGCTCAGGTCATGATCTCATGGTTCGTGTGTTCGAGCCCTGCATCGGGCTCTGTGCTGACAGCTGGCTCAGAGCCTGGAGCCTGCTTCAGATTCTGTATTTCCCTCTCTCTCTGACCCTCCCCTACTCATGCTGTCTCTGTCTCTCTCATAAATAAATAAAAATATTTAAAAAAAAGAACAGCCAGATATGATACTCTATTGTGGTTAAATCCTAAGATTTCAGGGTTCACCTGTCATAGAAGGTACTGACACCTCAACTAATATACTCAAATCCTTCCTCCCAGCTTCTTCCCTTCCTACACCACACCTTGCTTCCAGACACTGCCCTTTCTAGACTCAAACCCCCAAGGATCTGCTCCTTTCACCTATGGAGTGTGGGGGTAAATGGCACAGGAGAGGCACCTGTGAGTCCCAGAGTCAACCTGTGGCCAAAGGCAGCCACTGTCCTTCCAAGTGTGAGTTGAATAAATTATCATCAAGAACACAGGCAAGCCCACTTCAATGGGCTTGCTAACCCAGAGGGCCATCTCCTTACCCACAGGTTTAAATGTAAGAGCACAAAACAAGGAAATGCATGAACATGTGTATGTTAAATAAAGGTTGACATATGACATACAAGAGGGAAGAAAAGACTTCCCTTACAACCCAGGAGTTCTGCCAGTCAGCAGGAAGACGAAATAGTGCTTCCTTGGCATTTGTGGCCAGTTTCTGGGCCTGGGTGTACTCAGGGCTTTCACTACCAGATGTCACCACCTGTCCATAGGACAAGCAGTCGTCACCTATATATCTGCTTAGTTGCTACAGCACAGAGCACAGGAAAGCCAGTTTTCAAGGGTGGGTGGGTCACCCTCCCACTGCACTTACCTGGGTGTCCAGAGTTCTGGGGATATGAAGGGGAAGGAAATGGATAGAGTCCTGCCTACAGTGTGCTCTCTGGTTGAGTGCATGCCAACAGTCCCTATACCTGGGTCAGCACAGATATTGGTGGGAATGAGGAGGAAGCTCTTACCCCAGCAGGGGCAGAGGCCTCTCACAGAGGGCTTTGGGAGCTGGCCAGGAGGGTGTGGGGCTCAGCCTCAGGAGCTATGTGAGTGAAGACTGGAAGTGAGACACAGGGGCGCCCATCCCCTCTTCAACCATGTCCTCAGCCTGGTAGGAGTTGGTCCCACACAGCCATGGAGTCCAGGGCAAGTGGGACAGGCAGTGACACGCAGCTGTGAGGGAAGTGTGTGAGCCCTGTATGTCCTGCAATCCACTGAGGGAAGTGAGACCTAGCAAAAGCACACAGCTGCAAGGGGAGGTGCTGTTGGCCTGGGACAGCGCCAATAAAGGGAGATCTGGGCAAATTCCCAAATCCACAATTGGGCAACCACATTCTTCCTGCCACTTCCAGACAGCCAGTCCCCATGTCAGGCCCCCTCTAAACATCATATGGTTTGTCCTTAAAAACCAGTCCAACCCAATGTTCCCCCATGCCCTGCTTCTCCTCAGTGTGCCTCCAAGTTCCCCAAATAGCCTCTGGCTCTGGACAATCACTTCATGTTGCTGGATCCAGAACATGGCTCCTAGCTAATTCTTGTGCTGATCTCCTGATAAGCTGTCACTCCTGCAGCAAACATTTATTAAGCACCCACTGTGTGCACTTTGCTAAGAGCTAAAGATATTAAAAAGGAACAAAAAGAAGTCCCTGACTTGAAGGGTTCCAGTCCAATCAGGGGAGTGAAGAAGTTTAAGAAATGCTGGGAGCCCCGTGCCTTGACATGAAAAGGGTCTTATGGATCAGGGAATGGCTTCATGGAGTGAGGACCATTTGAGTTGGGTTTCAAAGGATGAAGAGGAGCTCTATGGGTCCTTGCACAGAGGCCCTTAGCTAGGAAAGGCACTGTCAAAGTTTGGGTGGCTGGAATCTCAGGTGGCTAGAGACAGTCTGCTGCCAC